AACTTCATGGGACAGGTAAGTTCTCACAAAGGACAGCGCTGCTTCAAATGGGCACCAAATTAACAGATGCCTTCTGATTTCTGGTTCTCACTTAGGTTCTCTTGTTCTTTTTGTTGTCCAAAACTTGCCTCCATAGTTAAAGCACTCAATGTACTTGGACAATTGTGTTAGTAAAGTTGCGGACATACAGAAATGTCTATGTAAGGACTACTTTTCATCCTAGGTTACTTTTTCCTGGTAGCATGATCACAATTAAAAAAAGATATTACCTTAAGATAAATATTCTTTTAGCATGGAGGTGGAAATGGTTACTGCAGATAAAAAAACAGCAAGAAAAAGGAAAACAAAAATGAAACACATTAAGAATTGAAAAAAGCATCACTAGAAAACCATAACCTTTTAAATTGAATTGCCCTTGCAGACACCTTCCACCTAAAATGTCCACAAAACTTACTGTTTGAAACAACTGCTTTTCCCCGAGTTTAATTCTTTTCATTCTTCTCAAAACAAAGTAAGAGGCAGGCACACTATATCTAAGGACTTGAGACCACATGATAGTACAACAACACTAGCAATGTTCCTGCATACAGAAAAGGAAAAAAAAAAAGAGACTGATGCATTTGATAAATTTATGTCTGTTTTGATGGAAAAAGTAACTTTTGTATTTCATTAAGGTCAAATATAGCACCTGTACACAATAAAAAGAAACACAAATGCTAACAGAGTATGCATCTCTTGATGACTCCTGTTTGGATGTTTAGTTAAAGGAAGCACAGAAACAGGAAAGCGCAAACGCGATGACTTCACATACTAAGGAAGTCTTACATTTGACTTTGACCTGACAGAGAAACAGAAATACAGGATAAAAATTGGTGTTCAACAATATCGTTTTTTCATCGTTAGGGCTCACACTCCTGAAAAGCAACAACAAAAATCCAGAAAAAAATCAGCTTTAACATAAGTAAAGAAATTAAAAGGTCAGACAGTTCCTGCTATGGACAAAAATCAGACCTTGCAGTTTTGAGAATCAGCATTCCTCATTCTGCCTCAAGTCGAGGTAAAACAGGAAGAATAAGATTTCCAAATGCAGAGTCTTGAGTTATGAAGTATCCTGAGGAATGTGCGTGTGCATGCTGGAAAGAGAAAAACATTTGTTAAAACATAACTTCCTGCAGCATTGATATAATTTAAGACTTTACAGCTTCTGCAGCATTAATTATTTATTTCTCCCAGTCTGCTTCTCAGCTCTAGCAGTCAACTTCAAAACCAGCATTTAGATCAGGCAGATCTGAAAAAGTCCCATCAGGGGACTTAACTTTGCCATTCCCTGCTGTTCCTTTTCAGCAAGTCCCATGGAGGTAGGGAGAGCGGTGAATGAACACCTGACTGCTTTCCTCTGCATACACCCCACGCTTCCACTACCATCTGTAACCAAGTTCCAGGTCCTAGTTTGTGACAGCTGCCACACATGACTGACAGAAGTGTGCACCAGCAGCATCACACAACCCGTGGCTGCATGCACAAATGACATGAGACACACTCCTGTACAACATGTGACACCAGCCTTCCGCTCGTGTGATGTATATGTGCTTTTTCACCTGAAGAGGGCAGCTGCTGCTTATGGCTCTGGGCAACCTTTGTAAAATCCTACACAGCCCGTTCCTGTAGCCCCTGCCCATTCAAAGACTGCACTCCAGTAAGCTAGACAGCCTGCATATTCCCTTCTTCCACCACTAGGAAAAAGTCTTACTAGTTGTCCAGTTTATCTTGAGACAGCAGTATGTCCTTGCAGTGATAAAGGCTACCAGCACAGTGTGCTGCATCAGCAACAGCACGGCCAACAGGCCAAGGGCAGCCACCCGCGAGGCTGCATTTGTGATACTGTGTTTGGTTTGAGACACAAACAGCATGGAGTTCAACAGAGACCCAAAGAGATGGCTGGGGGCTGGATTGGAGCTCTCAGTATCCAATGGGATGGCAGGAGGGCTGAGCTTCTTGTAAGAAGAGAAAGCTGAGGGGACATCTTACACTTCTGTCAGATACCCAGTGCTAGGATACAGAGATGACAGAGGGAGACTCAGAGCCAAGAAAGGCTGTGAGAAGTCTATCCCTGTGAGCTTCAAAACTTATTTGGACCTGAACAATGTGATACAGCACTGCTGTCAGTCATGTTTTGAGCCAGGGCACTGGACTAGAAACCTCCAGAGGATCCTTCCAGCCTAGGGTGTTCTGTGATCAACAAAGGACACCACCCAGAGCTCACTTCTGCTCCCTCTCATTTTAGGAGAAGCAACCTGGGGCCTTCACTGCATAACAGAAACACAATGAGGCATAGGATATGTGAACAGTGTTGCTAGTTTGCACTTCAATGTTTTTCCCATTCCTGTGCCTGCTGTCAAATCATGCTCTCTAGAATGCCAGGAAGGCAGGTGATCACATACTGGCCTGCTCAATTTCCAACGTCAACACCAAAATCAGCCTCACCCGACATGAGCAAAATAGCAGCAAATAGAAGCCTGTAAAGTATTCCAAATCTTTCACCCCTATCCCTTGTAACTGCAGGGTATTTACTTGGCATCTATTCAGATTCAACCAAGGGAAGTTGTGTGGCTAGTTCTACCTACGCTTCAAAAATATGATCAAACAGACTCATGACTAATATGTACAAAATCATTACAATGATACTGTAGGCTACATTTTTAAAACTATACTGAGGGAGAATGAGCTGACAGATTTAAACTTTTGTCATAAACAAAGAAACTTTAAACTTTCGTCATAGAAGAAGAAACTTCATTTGTGACAAATACAGAAATGTATGAAATCTAACCTCTAAAAGGGGATTTTCATTCTCTCTAGGTGCAGGACTGCTCTCTAAAGGGATGCACAAGCTAAACTCTACCTGACTGTATCAGCTTACCTGCAGTGCAGCCTTCTGCTGTGCTGCAATGTGCTGTTGCTCAGCATGATCACGGAAATCCTTGTTCAGCGGTGATCTTGCAAGTGCAATGCTGCAAAAAAGAACAAAGATGGTATGACACCACAGAAAAAAAAATGTGTCCTTGCCATTCTAGTCATAGATCAACAACTCACGATTTATTTGACTCGTGGCCTGACAATTGTTAGGTATTGTTTGGAATTACTATTTGTTAATATAAGAGAGAAAAGGAAAACAGAGTAACCACAGCTGTGTCATTTGACCTAGCACAAGCAACTGATGCCAAAGTAAACCCACAAGATTCACAGTTCTGAAGCCTGTTGTGGACTGTTGTGGATTTTACTCATGGGTGGAGTCGCGCTGATGTCAGCAGAACCACTAGGGTGCAACGTTAGACAATGTCAGCTATTTTTAAAACAAAGGCTTTGTGAGTTCACCATTAGCACTCACTCTGACTGTTCTAAGCAACTGTGACAAACAGAAGCACTAACAGGAGCTCTGTAGTCTTCAGTGTAAGACCAGTTCTCCAGCAGGTGGGCAGCAGATCACTGTTTGTGGCAAAGGAGCTTCCTTTTGACCTAACTGAAATAACGACCATCTGATAACAGCTTATAGAGTACCTAAAACTGATTTTGCTTATCTATCTCAGTGCAGCATACATTAGGTTTCAAATCAAAATTTCTAGATATGTTTTCTTGACTTTTCTATCTCAAGACTTGTCCACCTTTTTAACTTAAAAAAAAAAAAAAAAGAAATAAAAAGCAGACATTTTTCCCGCATCTCTGTACAAAGTAACAAGATCAGCCATCCTCCATACAGAAGTCGGTGAGGACTGCCACTAGAGCTGTATTGCAAGGCAATTCACAACTACCTCTGAAATTGGCTCTGGAAACTGGGACTGAACACCTAGCTCTCCTCAGTCACAGAGACAAAAGTCTGAAGGACAAGGGATCCAAGCAAACTCAAAAACTGACCTTCCCCATCAGCTTGAAAGTCAAGAGCTGATTTAGTAAATCAGGTTTTCAAAAGCAGACATGCTCAGGAAAAGACCTTTAGCCAGGTGTATGCTGAAATACATAGTGACAGCTAAGTAGCAATCATATGAACAGATTTTATGACAAATATTAAGCTCAGATTCACTGCTGGAGAAAAGTACGACTCAGTTTACTTTAAACATAGTATTTTTGGATACTTTGAAGGTATTTATTTTGCATTTAATTCTGTATCCTCTAATTATCTAATATGATTTCTGTAGATAATCTTAAGGCTTCATCATAAGCTGACACTTTGAGAGAGGTCTTCTGTTTCTAGATAGAGGATTCCTGTATGGCGAGACCAGAAATCAAACAACTTCTACAATCTTATGCTGGCCATGCCACTACTGTGTTTTAGGTATATCAAGCTCTTTCTGACAAGTTTGCAGAACTTCTGTCTCATTTCTGATAACTTTGTAATCCGAAACCTTCGGCGCAACATTCCTGCCACGGAACTGTCAGCTTCTCAAAAAATCGCGATGAGCTGACTGTTGTGTTTTAGGCTTTCCCCTATCCCCACCTTCCAAATTAGTAAATTCTAATTCCGCTCATACTGTTATTTTTCCTTAAAGAAAAAAAGAAAGTAAACAAGCATTCCCTGAAACTCTTCCAGACTTGCAAGGAAACACTGTTGCCACAGATCAGTTATTGTAAATAACAATGTGATATTTCTGTTTTCTTCTTTAATCAATATTTTTGCTTGAATAATAACTGTACAGAGTCAATCAGAGATCTAACTCAGGCAATTTCAAATATTCTGCATGACAGTATGAATGAATTAAATGTGACCTAGAATCTCCTTGAAAAAAAAACATAAGCAGGGCAGCACTCAAGTCTGTGAACTGACTATTTGACTCTTGTACAGATCCTGTACGTAACACACCTTCTAGAATATGTCACTGCACTCACTTCATGCTAATCCAAAGTTCAGCTACCTCAGTTTCTCAACATAAACGAGTATGTGATTTTCTAGTTACTGATTTATGACAAAAATCTAATCTTTCAGTCTCAAATGGGAGAAAACCCAGCTCTCAAACTCAGATTAGATAATTACACTTTATGGTGTAGAATCATCCTTAGAACACCTCATCCTTTACAAGAACATCAGCAGTAACATAAACTGGCTTTGTCTTGCACACAGGGAGTTGTAACGATAACTCATTCCCTGCCATAACTGTTCTTCTCTAAACACACAGTACCCTGAACATAATGGTCTGCTACTTCCATTCCCTAGGGCATTTTAGCTTAATAATTAAATGCTTTCTCAGTGCCTGCTTCCTGATTCTTCTTTAAGGTGGACTTCAATACAGTTGAGTAAGCATATCTGCTTCTCCCCTTCTCAAATGCAAGTCACGTAAGCCAAAATTCAGGGTCTGTAAACAACTTCAAATAGTAGTATGTGCCTATAGTGCAAGGTCTCTTTGACGGGTCATTGAGAATGATCATAAAACACTTATGATAAGTGTTTATGTAAGTTTCAGCTCACTTGCTTTTTTTTTTTTTCTTTTCCCTCTGATGTAATCGGTGATGTCTAAACAGGTCTAAGAACATAAAATACCTGGCTCCAGGGTGATTTGTGGAAGACTGGTTTTGCATAAGTAACTTTCTCTTCTCCTTGTCTAGTTCTGCCAGGATTGCAACCCTATTTTTATTCTGGAAACCTGGTGGAAATGACAGAAAAATATTAGAGAGATTTACTTGATTTTTGTGGCCCAACTCTAACTTTGTGGAATTAAAAGTCCTTGTACAATACAACATTATGATGAATGCACTTATCTTCAAAGCCTTGCACCCATCTGAAAGGCTATTAATAAATAGATTTCATTTTTCCTTTTCTCATTTACAACATGAAATAGCTTCCTGAAGCTGTCATACATATCAATACATTTTAAAATACACGTTTCTCTCTCAAGTTAGATCCTACCCCTTCCCAAGTCAGCTCTGGAGCTATAATCACGGTACAAGATGAAATACTTGCCTTTTTATAAAAACGTAAACTTACCAAGTTCTAGATTTAAAATGCTGTCACTGAACATACAACTCAATGGTAATAATGGAATAATATATTCACGTGATCTAATTTCTCATGCCAGCAAACTCAAACTATAAATTTTACATATATGGCAGATAAGAATGAAACTAAGTTTGCACATGCACTTCTAAAAAAATTTACAACCTTTTATTCAAACTATGCAGAAAGGTTTTAGTTTTAATATACTGATGTCCTCACATATACACACTACCCTTCGTATGAGTATGACCACAATGGAGCATGACCACAATACTGGAATAGAGAAGCAAAATTAAACTGTCTGGACAGAATACGAGAATGAAGCCTTTACTTGCTTTGTACATCATTCCCCAAATGGACCCTGTATACTAGAGAAAGTGTCAGGAGGTAGAGTGACTGAAGGAATTTAGAAAATACCCCAAACAGCTGCCACTTGTGTATTTTCAAAGCTGCCTTCTAAATAAAAATGTAGCAAAGCTACTGTACTTACACAGCACTCTTATATGGTTAAGAATCTCACCATGGCCATTAAATGCCATATAGAGGAAAACCAGTGGATCAGGCCCAGTCAGCATGGGTTTATGAAAGGCAGGTCCTGCCTAACGAACTTGATCTCTTTCTATGACACTAAGACCTGACTATTGGATGAGGGAAAGGCTGCGGATATTGTGTACCTAGACTTTTAGAGATCCTTTGACACTGTTCCCACAAAATTCTCATGGAAAAACTGGCTGCTCATGGCTTGGATGAGCACACAAATTGTTGGATAAAGCTCTGGTGGGATGAACAGGCCCAAGGAGTGGTTATCAATGGAATTATATCCAGCTGCTGGCTGGTCACAAGTGGTGTTCCACAGGGCTCAGTGTTGGGACCATTTCTGTTTATCATTTTTATTGATGATCTTGATAAGGACACAGAGTGTAGCATCAGTAAGTTCACAGGTGACGCCAAGTTAGGTGAGAGTGTTGATCTGCATGAAGGTGGGAAGGCTCTACAGAGAGGCCTGGACAAATTGGATTGATGGGCCAATATTAATTTCATGAGGCAAGGCAAAGTGCCAGGTCCTGCACTTGGGTCACAATAACCCCATCCAACGCTACAGGCTTGGGGACGTGTGGCTGGAAAGCTGCCTGGCGGAAAAGGACATGGGGATTCTAATCAGCAAGCAGCTGCACAGGAGCCAGCAGAGCGCCCAGGTGGCCAAGAAAGCCAATGACATCCATCCTGGCTTGTATAAGAAATCGTGTCACCAGCAGGAGTCAGGAGGTGACTGTTACCCTGCACTTGGCACTGGGGAGGCCACATCTTGAGTATTGTGTCTGGTTTTGAGCACCTCAGTAAAAGAGATATCGAGGTGTTGGAGTAAGTGCAGCGGAGGGCAGTGAAGCTGGCAAAGGACCTAGACAATAGATCTTATGAAGAGTGACTGAAGGAGCTGGGGTTGTTTAGTTTGAAGAAAAGGAGATTAAGGGGAGACCTCAGCACTCTTTACAACTATCTGAAAGGATGTTGTAGAGAGGTTGGCGCTGGTCTGTTCTCACAGGTAATTAGTGACAGAACAACAGGGATTGGCTTCAAACTGCAACCAGGTAGGTTTAGACTGGACATTAGGAAAAATTATTTCACAGAAAGAGTAGTCAGGCATTGGAACAGGCTGCCCAGGGAGGTGACTCAGTCACCATCCCTGGAGGTGTTTAAAGGTTGTTTAGATGCGATGTTGGGATTTAGGGGTGAACTTTGTAAAGTAGGGCTCATGGTTGGACTTGATGATTCCAAGGGTCTTTTCCAACCTGAATGAGTCTATGATTCTAAATAAACCAGATACACGAGTCCCTGTCATTGCCCAGTACTCCTGTACAGCACAACAGTGACAGAACTGATTCTTATAGGCCTCTTTGCCACTAACGACACTCCTCATGTCAAGAAAATGCACTTTTTTAATGTCTAAATTGCTGCTATTCTACAAATATCTAGCCACTAAACTGTCATAAACCAACGGATATCAAAAGTAATCTCCTTTATGTTCTCCATATAAAAAGTCAAAAGTCATTCTCACTGTAAACTGCTGGTGTTGCACCCCTGTCCTCAGTGCTGTTTAGTAACACCACTGAAAAACAGCAACCCACAAGCTGCTAGGCAGGCCAAATATGGTAACTCTTAAGGGGAGTATCACCATGTCAAGGTAAAATGATTTCAAGTTTTTTTCAGTAGCTGCACACAAAAGTTCATTCCCTTTGACAGGTCTTCTCTTGCTGCTCAATTACATAATCCAATATTCCTTTCATTACCATGGCTCAGTGAAGGAGACCATTGTCAGGTAGAAACTTTCAACTCTGAATACTAATTTGCATCTGTACTGCCCTGCTATCAAACCCTCACCATTTTCTTTTACTATGCCTAAGAATATGCACCTCTGAGCTCCAGTGTCTCAGAGTTCTCAAGAGGAGCAGAGCTGTTTGATTATATTTTCATATACTCATAGAACAATTCAGGTTGGAAAAGACC